TACTCTTAAGTGAGTTTCAAAGTTCGGCATTCTGACAGCCAAACCATATTTACCATCAAGACATGCATCACCTTTGAATATTTGTGTCCATATAGTCTGGTGTCGATTCGATGTGCTTATACTCTAACGAATATAATCACTGTGACCGAATCCGGTGCCGACAATTCGTGAACTTCGCAGAACCAACAGCCTTGTCTTCAGGCTCGAGAATCCAAAGGCAGATATTTGTTCATTCCCTGGCCGCAGTCACAAGATAAAGAAATTAGCAATGTGCTCAACGCAATATCAACAAACTCGGCCGACGAGTTGGCACACCCCACATTAAACCAATGGACGTAGTTAGCTTATTAGTTACTCTGCCTGCGCGCCACGTAGGTTTTGTAATTTTTAGGGTCAACAGATACATAGAACTGCCCAGACATCTGATCATTGCCCGATGATTTTCAACTTTGATCTAGCTCCTTCGCGTGGAAGAAGTTATTTCATTTCGAATCCTTTTGAATGTAGGAAGAGGGATGTTGTGAGATTATTGAAGACTACTGGCGTACTCGGCGTGGGCGTAGAGCCCTACAGAATTGGTAGAGGAAGTGTAAAATTGGAGTCGAAGGAAATTTAAAGAGGGTAAGTTGGCGATTGTGAGCCTAATACAAAACCGGGCTGCTTATAGGTGGATTAGGAGGAAATTAGTAATCAAATTATTGAACTCTTGGGGCTGATTGTGAGACTAGAAGAGAGGGAGGAGAAATTTTGGCAACATAGAGCTCGAGTTAAGTGGTTGTAGGGCAGCGATTTAAACACGAAGTTCTTCCATTAGATTATCGTTTAACGACGAAGATTCAATAAGATTCAAGAAGATTCAATACGAAGTTCTTCCAGTATCAGGGATATTGTTTATGACCACTTCTCCAAGCTTTTCACTTCAAGTGGGGATTAGGGGTGAGCGCGATGAACTTCGGTGCGGTTTTGAGGCCAAAATTGAAATGAAATCAAACCGTTTGATTCGGTTCAGTGCGGTTTCAAAGGGTTTCAGTTTGGTTTTTGAGAAAAAATGTACAATTTAAAATATACACCTATTTATGCATATGACCGTCAAACCTGCATAACATCTCTACCCCTAATAGACCACTCTCCTCATATTTAGCTTATAATTCCTGGGTGGTACGTTCTACTTCTAGCCATTTGGACTTAGTTGGTGATCTTATGACAATTCTTGCCAACTATTTTCCAATAATAGTAATTAGTGGAAGGAGTAGAGATAAGGTAATGATTAAGTCATCAATATAATCTCGAGAAAATTTGAAATGTTCATCAATAAACACTGTGTTGCACATAAAAGAATTTTCTCATTTAATTTGGTTCTACAGGTAAAAGGATTTGTACAGTTAAGTAATGTATATTATGCTGGAAGCCATGGGATGGATATAATGGTCCCACCAAGGCCACTAAAGCCCTGCGACGGCAAGAACCACACTACAGCCATGGATAAAAAGGTCAGTGAGGCCGCAAAGATGCAAGCAGCCAAGTCGCACGCAGAGATGCAAGCAGTGAGTTCAGGATACTAATGTCGATTGTGGAAGAGATAAAGATGAGTTTTGAGAGAGAGATGAAGATGATTTTTAAGAAAGAGAGAGACAGACAGATGCAAACAGTGAGTTCGGGGCATTGATGTCGAATAGTGGTGCAAAATTTTACAACTAGTCTAGTTGAACTAATTAAAATATAACATTCAATATATGGTGCGATTTCGGTTTCGGTTTCGGTTTCGGTGCAGTTTTGAAAATCCAAAACCGAAACCAAACCGTTTTCTTTGCCGCAGATCGGTTTTGAAACCACAACCGTTTCAAAACCGCAAAACCAAGCCGTTCAATGCGGTCCGATTCGATTCGTATTTCGGTTTCAGTTTTGGATTCCAAGTGCCCACCCCTAGTGGGGATTGAGATTGGGGGTCGGTTCTTGACTGCCTCGAACCGATGATTTCGGTGGATATGAATTCCCATCTAGCAAGGCCCATTGAGATGGAGGAGATTCGTGAAGCTGTCTTTCAGATGAGATGATCAAAGGCCCCTAAGCCTGATGGTTTCCATGGGGTATTCTTCCATTCCTTGTGGGAAACCATTGCCGAGGATATTCGAGGCTTTGTTCTTAAGTTTGCGAGTGGGATTGGGAGTACCAGAAATTTGAACGCCACCCATATTGTTTTAATTCCAAAGACTCCAAGCTCGGAATCTGTAGGGCAGTTTCACCCTATAAGTCTATGTAACTACTCATATAAACTCTTCTCTAAGATCCTTGCAAATCGCTTTAAACCATGGCTGCCAAATATTTATCTCTCCGACTCAGAATGCCTTCAACTCAAGAAGGTGAAAAAGAGTTTTGAATTTGTCATGAAGATTGATATGGACAAGGCATATAATTGTATAGAGTGGGATTTTCTTGCAGCGGTGATGGTCCGGATGAGATTTAATCAATGGTGGATTGATATGGTGATGGGGTGTGTTACGACGGTGAATTTCTCTATGCTTGTTAATGGTCAACCTGGAAAGAAATTCAAACCGTCTCGAGGACTGCGGCAAGAAAACCCGTTATCGCCATACTTATTCCTCTTTGTGAGTGAGGTGCTTGACAAGCTCCTAAAAGGGGCTTCTGATCGTGGCTTCTTATATGCCATTAAGCTCAATGATATCGGGCTTCCTCTCACTCATCTCCTTTGGCCGATGACACATTAATTTTTCTAAAGGCCACACCACAAAACTGCCACAATATTGATCTTCTACTCAAGGCCTACTTTAGGGCATTGGGTCAGGAGGTTAGTGCACAAAAGTTAATCGATTTTTTTTTTTTACAGAGCTAATACGCCGGAGCATGTCCAGAGAGAGATGTGCCCAATTCTGGGTATGGCACAGGTCACGGATCTTGGTCAATACCTCGAGATCCCAACGGTGTGGGGTCACTCCAAACTAGCCGCGCTTGCCTTCGTTAAGGAGCGTGTATTGGCAAGGATCCAGGGTTGGAAGCAAACATTTCTCTCACAAGCGGGGCGTGAAGTTCTTATCAAAGTAGTTGTACAAGCTATCCCGGCATACCTTATGAACATTTTTAGATTTCCAGATACTCTTTGCCGGGAGATTGACTCTTCCGTGGCGCAGTTTTAGTGGGGCCAAAAAGTAGGGGAGCAGAAGATCAATTGGGTGAACTGGGGAAGATATTTTCCTAGTTGCTCGTTCTTGGTGGCAAAGCGTGGAAGTCAGGCATCTTGGGCTTGGGCTGGTCTCTTGGCAGGAAGAGAGAGTCATTGCCGCAGGATTTCAGTGGCAGATTAGGTTATCGTGTCACTCGGAATTCTGTAACCTCATTCCATGTTTGGCTTGTACACATGTATGAATGGGTCTATGGGAGTGTTGAGGACCGGATGCACTTCATGGCTTTGATTGCGTTCACTTGCTGGAACATTTGGAAATCCCGATGCAACACTATTTTAAACCACAAATTGCCATCTCCCCACCAAACTTTGCTCACAATTTCTGCTGCTACCACGTCGGTTCTTCAATGCTCGTGTTGTGAGATCGGGGGGAATTGGCCGGGGGCAGGTTGGCTTTTCTCCTAATGTTTTTTGGTCTCCTCATCCATGTGACTCCGTTAAGATCAATGTGGATGCAAGCTGCCGGGCGTCCAATAATCAGGGTCATGTTGGGGTGGTAGCGTGGGACTCTAATTCCCATTGTCTAGCTGTTCGAAGAAGAGCAATTAAGGCCCCGAACATCGCAGCGGCTGAAGCTCTTGGTATTTTGGACGGGTGTTTGCTTGCTCAACTTCGGGGACCATCTTCGTTTATGCAGGTCCTGAACAAAGACGGGCTACCTTGCCCTCCTAGTTAGCGTTTTGTTGGTCGTAAGGGATTGGCACGACTGTGTTCCGTGCCTTTTTACCTTCCTTACTTCCAGTTATTTTACTACCCCTTAGTATAAAATAGCGTTGTGCCAAAACTTAAATTAATGGGTAAGTAAATTTTAACTCAAGTGCTTTAAGAATGACTACGGATGTTCTGATAGTCAATTATTCAATTCCATCATATTGGTTAGAGCGAACATAATCCCGCTATGCACCTAGTTTATAGCTTTGCTCTCTATAATTTAAATTAGTTGAAAGTAACATAAGCTTGTAAGGAAAAAAAACTTCCAATTAGTTTATAGTATACCTTTCCCAATTTTCCATTAGTATTGTGATAAGGGTGACAAATAAATTGCAAAAGAAGTAAAGGAAAATAGTTCCATGATTGTGTTTTGGACTAACATATTAGTTTCATGCACTGTAACGATACAGTGATATTTCTCTTCACTTGTAAGTAAGAGGTCTTAAGTTCGATTCTTGCCAAAAGTAAATTTGAACCATAATATTGCTAGCCCATTGTGAGACTTAGCTCACTCCCTTTCCCTTAGTGTAGATAATACCGTTTGTTAAAAAAAAAAAAAAAAAAAAAAACATGTAAGTTCCATGCTGAGGAGCGTAAAAGCAAACTTGTTTCTTTGGCAACGGCCCAACAAATAAAACAAGGAACCCCTCTAGAGGATCCATTAGCATGCATGAGCATCCAGTTACAGCATTCAATGAATTCTGGAGGGTGCCTGTCTTCTAATTCTTGTTCCACCAAGGATATCAGAGAAGCTAAATCAATTTAACACTCGGAGCTAACTGATATTCAACTTATATTACTAGTTTAAGAAAATCCCGGTCGGAGATGTCGTAGTTTAGTTGATCTGAACAACTAAGTTGACTAAATATGAACAAAAGACCTCACGGGTTCATTGAATAAGCAAAATTGTTGCTTAAACATCGGTTGAAGGTAATGCCAAAAGAAAATGGTCATCACCTGATTTCTGTAGACTGATTGCTAGACAAAACTGTGAACCTAAATTGCTGTCATGCCACCCCTAGTAGCCATCGACTGGGTGCATCTATCCAATGATTCCAGTGAATAGTGATCCATAAACACCGGAAAAATCTTGAAACGCAACTGCAATTGCATAATATTTACTTTGAAGATCTTACTGATAAATATTTCACTATTGAGTAGCAGTATAACAGTGCCATTTTGAACTCAGTTGAACACGCCACCAGACGAAATACTTCCTTCTATAAACTTAACCTTGGCGATAGCATATGAATGTCATCACAAATCCTTCTCAGCAAATCGCTTGCCCTGAAATAGTTCAAGGATGCGTAAATATTTCTTTGCACAAAGCTCAGTAAAGGATGCAAATGAGAAACCAGGTTAGTGAGTATGTGCAGTGCAACCAAGTTTACCATACTGAACCTTTTTCAAATTACAAGGCTTCCTCTTTGGTATCCAAACTGTTGGGACATTTGAGTTCCAGAATTTACAAATAACTATTTATTAAGTTAGCCCTGTCAAACAACTGTCCAACTGGGGAGAGAAAGGTACATGACATCTGAAGCAGGAGATTTGAGTCTCAAGTTTATTAAGAATAGAGAAATATTGGAAAATTCGAGGGTGTTGAAATACGTGAGAGATGGAAATGAGATGAATGAAACTAATTTGGCAAGATTCTCTCATGTGATGGATAAGTAGAAACAAAACGGAGTTCTCACTTTCATAAGTTTTTTAAGACTCCTACTACATTTGTTAAAAGAGGTCTGGAATTATTCACTTCCTTCTGTTTCCATCCATCAAGCAAACAGGGTAGAATTACTTCATCCGACTCGGTAAGTTATATTGGAAGGTGGATAAAGCTGTGTTGAAGTTCTTTTGCAATGTAAAACAAACACTACTAGATGACCTTACCTCAACAAAATTGCAAAATTTACTGCCACTGTGGTCCATTGGCATGGAACAGAAAAGCCTCATAAATTAGAAGAGTCCCAGCTGGCATACACAGCATCAATGATTTTCTCATGTAGTGTGGCCCCGGAACAAACAACTATGCCCCTGTCAAGTCCTTCTAAGTACGGTCCCTTTGAGAAGTCCAGGGGACGCCCTCCAGCATCAGTTACGACACCTCCGGCCTCTTCTACAATGACAAGACCAGCAGCGTGATCCCATATCTTCTCCTTGTATCCAGTCCTTGCAAACTTCATGAATAGCTCAGCATCTCCTCGAGCTATGGCTGCATATTTCACCATGCTGTAGACACGCAGGGGCTGATTTCTACCATATGATATGAAAGGAAAATATCAAATTAGAGCACAAGTAAAACTATAGTTGCCAGTATCTGCCTACCCCGGTAAAAAAGACGTGCAAGGTGGCAAGGTGGCTTTGAGATTCACATCATTGATAACAACGAAAAGGAATTAAAATTAGGATTTCAAGTGAGTCACTTTTAATCTTAATTGACCATCGATCACATTGCCTCGTACTTAAAAAACATATCATTAAGCAATTGCCTCGAAGAAAATCAAGGTAACTGTTAAAAAATTCCAAATAACAGGCAATACACATACTTGTTCTTATAATCTCTTACTCCCTATCTAATTTCTCAGAACTTGAAAATAGGACCATGAAACAGAAGAAACAAACAACAGCAGGACAACAACCTAGGCGATACTTGTGATGAAAAATTACTCATATCATTAAAACACTATGCTAGGTTTTTATAACGAAATGTCGTCAACCTGGAAATATCTCTTTATTATACCTCTTATATGTAATTAAAAAGAAACTAGAAAAGGGAAGTGCTCCTATACTTGATAACTCATTTCACTCTTCTGTTTGCAGTTTTCTCCTCCCATTACTCTTCACCTTTTTCATTAAGTCCTGGTTTCATTTGTTGGAACAATGACCATCCAAGTGGGTGCATAGAAATAAATAACTAAATAAATGTACCTAAGCCCTACGCTGTGAGCAAGTCCTGCTGTGAAGGAGTGGTCTGAATTTGCTCTCTCGACAGGTTCACAACAAGTAGCCAGCGCGGGGTCATCAATGGAAGAAACCCGAATAAGTCTTGCAGAATTTGGCCACACAAACTTCTTATCCCCACGGATTGGTGGCTGCATCCATGCATTACCACTGCCTCTCCTTGCATACATCACACAACCTCTTTCCCACATATCCTCAGAAGGGGGAGACAACTTTGACATGACTTCATGGTACTGATAATGATAACTGAGCAATTCTTTATTCATTGGGTAATTAGGGCACCCAAGTACTCCAATAACAACTTTTCCATCCTCAATCAATGCTAAAGCTACAGCGTATTGATCACCACGCACAAACCCTAGTGTTCCGTCAACAGGATCAAGTACCCAATGTTTTCCTTTGGGGCCTCCCGCTGAGTTGCATCGGCTGATAGCCTCAAGAACTTGAGAGGTGTTGAGGGATTTTGGTGGACTTTTAAGACCATACTTGGGGGCTCCAGCTAAGCATTCATTAACAGTGTTCACAACAGCTTCCAGCAAACCTGCTGAGTCAGCCTGAGAGAGAGTTTGTACATCTTCTTCAGCAATAATGGATACATTCTGACTTCCAAAGAATTCAGACAGCATCCAGCTAATAGTTGCTTGCACACTCCAATCTGTTCATGCACAATGTCAATCAAATTAGCGCAACTTCGTAGAAGAGCACCAAGCTATTTCTGGCGCATAAAAGTTCTTGTAAGGATATTAAACCAACTTACAGTAAACAAAGAAAATCATCAATAAAACAAAATCCCTTCTTATCTAAAGCTTACACATTCTCCAACTATGATCACATAACGAAAGACAAACTTCTGTGGCTCATTCGTGTTTTATCAAGCTTCACAATGATAAGCAACATATCGCCCACCAACAAACTATGTTGTAGGCCTTAATTTTCTTGATAGTGTGGTAGCAGCTAAAAGGTTATCTTAGCCTCAAATTAGTACTATCATCTACTAGAAGAATGTAACCATTCTTCGGACAATGAAACAAGATATTTCAAATTTTATGCAAGACGCAATAGAAACTAAACAGGTGTTCCCTGCATTTCTATAAACTGATGATAATTGTGTTTTCACATAATGCTCTTACACAATCTATAAGTTGTACTTGAAAAATACTCCACCCCCATCCCCGTATCAACTTTAAAAGACAAATGTGTACTAATTAGCCGACAGAAATCATGCTCCATGTACTAAATGCTCTTATAAATATCATTTTACATTTCAAGAACATACCATCAGACTCTTCCCCAGCAAAGTTCATCTAGTGGTCAATCCCTCATACTTAAATTGTACTTGAATAAGAAGATTCTGGTCCGTCCCACACTAAGCGAAAAACCTACTCCATAACGATGCAAAAAAACCTCTAGGACAACGCACCTAATATCAAGTACCTAAATACATCAAGGACCTATATATATAGTCCTTAAAAATTAAACTTGCGTTGCCCAGATATTTCGAAAATTTGTTCATCGTAACTTGTAAACATAGATAGAGTATCATTATCAACTTAACTAAAAGGCAAACCAATTCAAGAGCTATAAATACATGACCCTGTATCGCGGAACCCGCAGTGAGATTCAACCTTAACACTATCTAGCAAAGGTACTACATTGCACTAGTTTGCCAAAATTAAGGAACACACAAACAGACAAACAGCAGAACATTTCTCAAATCCATTTCTCTCGACGCCAAAAACTTTAACAATCCCACCACCAAAAACCTCCGAAATCAAAGGAAAGATAACCAAATAACGAACTTTCAATTCATAGTACCTGCGACAGTCACAGGAGAATCATCGTCCTTGGACTTAACGAGGCTACTGCCACCTGACACCAAACCCTCCTGCAGCCTCTGACACAGAGCACACGCCATGTGAACCACTCTCACCGCCACATCCAGCTCCTCCCCGTATTTCTCGCCCTCCATACCTCAATTCCAACAACTTCCGACAACACCCAGATGGAGATAATTCAAAAACGAGGAGAAAGTATCAATCTTTGAGGTAACAACCTGGGGATTCGTGCAAATTAAGGTTCCTATGTTCTTGGGTTGGTAATTTTTGAGGTTTTTTTCCGTGCTCTGCAATGGCAATGGCATTCAGAGATGCAGTACCTTTTGGTAAGTCAAAAATTTGGGGTTCTTTTGTTTGTGCTGTGGAATTTTCGCTGGTGGCATTTGTGTTTTGTGGGATTTGTGTGTTTGGGTGGAAGGAAAGTTGGAAAAAAGCGCATGGAGAATGATAGTGTCGCAAAGGTTACGTTTTTATTGTTAGGGTCCATTCTGGAGGCCTTAATTTGACCACACCTGTCTCCTTCTTTCACAAGCTTTACTTCTTTTTCTTTCATACTTTTGTGTATGTGGCGAACTGTGTGTGAGGCGATGCGGAAAACTTGTATGAAACGAGTTCACCGATATCTCAAAGCTACTTTAAGAAATCTAAGTTGTTTCCTCTTAGGTGTTGGGCTTTAGTTGATTCAACTTTCGACCAAAAAAAAAGAAAAGTTAGTTGGTTTAGCTAGTGTACTTGTAGATCTAAATTTAAATCTCTCACATTGTAGTTCAAAAATAGAATATCGCCTTTGTAAAAGAAATACATTTAGAAGCGAAAATGTGGAATGAGGTGTAAGTCTTTTGAGCCTTTTTGTTATAATTAAAAGTTATTGTTGAGAGTTAATCCCACGTTGGAGAAATAAGGAATCTTAATTATAAGTTGAGTTACTTCCTATATTGTCAATTGATTTTATGGTGAAACCTCAATTTTCTCCATGGTATTGAAGCATGTTATCTCATGTGTGAAGCCCAACAACCACGTATGCTCCACGTCACTGGATTGACCATATGTTAGGGTCGTGTTGAGAGTTAATCTGACATTGGGAAAATAAAGGATCTTGCATGTGTTTTTATAAGTAAGTAATTGAGTTACTGTCCATATTGCCAATTGATTTTATGGTGAACTTCAACCTTCTTCAATTATGAAATAGTTTTAAAAGTTGAAGCGGCTTGCATTATGACTATGAGCATGTATTTTCTGCATGAGTCATGTTTTCTTGTCACTTAATAACCAATGATGCATTGTCATCTATAGATATATTTAATATCAAAGATTAATATTAAAATATAAAAACACATTCATTTAATATAAACTTTGAAGAATGCATATCCTCTCTGGAGCAGTTTTCTCCGATCCTTTGGAGCAAAAGAAACATGTCAAAATTTCACAACAGCTATTCTCTCCCTTCGCCGCTATCTCCTTCTCCTCTCACCACCTTTATCGGATCTGCATCTCTATGGTGAACGCGACCATGAATTTGTATGAAGCTTTAGGCCTCTACTCATCTGTTTTTTTTCTTCTGAGCAAAATCCAGTTCTCCATATATTGGGAAAGCAAAGAAAACCTGAAAGATTTTCATGGAGGCTTTCTAAGACAAGGGGGAGAGCAGAAGGGTGAGCGAGCCCAAAGCGCTATGGGAGAGGGACATCACGACAGCATGGGTGAGGGATTCACTTTGAACCGCACAATTTTACATGAACGGTTTTAAATTGTTTGGTCTAGAAGGTCTGACAAAAAATTGCTCCAAAAAAGACCAGGATCCTGCACGTGCCCAACCTCAATGTCACTTCCCAAACCCTTTCCCAGATCTATGAAAGGTGAAACGTTGAAGGTACACAACAGGTAACATAAATGAACAAGTTTTTTATTTTTTTATTTTTGAGCTGCTGAGGGCCGGAGCTCGTATGGATACATTACTTCATTGTTCTATGGGGCATTGCACTAAGCACATACTCGGATAGGGTCGCAAAGTTTTTTCTTCTGGAGTACCTCAGCGTGACATGAGCGTGAAGGGGTTCAAGAACCAGCTTTCTTTTTATAAGGGCTAAAATCATTTATTTTGGCTTTTTGACCCCATATTGTTGGGTGGATCTCGAAAGATATGAAAGATCTCCCTCCAAGTCGTACATACGACTTTCATCGAATATGGCTTTCCACAGAATTCTATATGTATCTATGAGATCAAATATGGAATTTTATTTACTCACTTTAAATTGAGTAGCCATTTCCCTCCTTTGCCTGCGAGGATTCGAAATCCTGTATTTTACATATCCATACAATTGAGTCCTTGAGTTTCCGAAATAGTGTATAAAATAAAGAAGTGCTTTGAATCATTACTATTTGACTCGGGCCTGTTCTAAAAAAGTTGAGGCATTTCGAATTGTTTGTTGACACGGACAAAATCAAGGAAAACCTCTGAAATTATTTCAACATTGGACCTTGGACATATAATAGTTCTGAATAGAATCTCTTTAGAATATTTCTATTGATCAGTCATGTCATATAGGCCCAAGTTGGACATCCAATTGCTTCAATTTGAATTATCTGAAGGATGCCTTATATATATTATATCAAAAATATATATTATTATATCAAAAACGGAAATATTTACCATTCGAAAAGAGGAAAAAACAGGGTCTTTGTCAAAAGAAATGCCTTAAGAAAAGGCGGATGTATAAAACCTCTCAACGATATAGTGCTTTTTCAACTCTCTCAAAATGGAATATATTCCAAACATATATGACATGGCTCCTTACCTCGATAGGATACAAATATTTAAATTTGATATTTTTAGATACTTTTTTCAAACCTATTGCTGATACTAAGTAGCAGCCAAAAATTTGTATTCATTTTTCATGATATTATGGATGGATCAGACATATCATGGTGAATTCTTCAGAAAAAATTGTGTCTTCCACAATGGAATCTGATAAGTGATATTTCGAGTAAGTGTTTACATAATCTTCTTTTGTCTGAAGAAATGATTCATTGAAATAATGAGTCACCATTGATATCAACACATCTGAGATCACCAAATGTTTGAGAATTCCTCTATTCAATCCTTTTCCTTCTTCTTGTTGCTGGATATCTCGTTCGTATACTTCTTCTCTTTGTTTCTTGAGCCTATAGTGAGTTACAGACAAAGTTCGAAATGGTCAAATCTTTGATGATTCCATTATACATGATTGAGTTGCGAAAACTTCTAGATAGGTATCCTACATCTAAACTGAATTCTTTCTGGTTAAAGAAACTCTTTCTAGTTGCTCGGGAATAATTAAGAGATTCTCTAGAAGAAATATGGGCTTCTGGCGGCAACATGCTATGGGGTGGTGGTCCCGCTTATATGGTCAAATCAAACGTTCTAAGAAGAAATATTTGAATATCAATCTCATCAATATCATCGATTTCATAAGTATCATACCAAATCTTATCAATCGAATCACTTTTTCGAGAAATACGAGACATCTAAGTCATACAAGTAAAGAGATCCATTCATTGATAAGAAAAAGAAAAAACGTGAACAGTGATTGGATTGATGATAAAATAGAATCATGGGTCTCGAACAGTGATTCGATTGATGATAAAGAAAGAGAATTCTTGGTTCAGTTTTCCACCTTAACGATATAAAAAAGGGTTGATCAAATTCTATTGAGTCTGACTCATAGTGATCATTTATCAAAAAATGATTCTGGTTATCAAATGATTAAACAACCGGAAGTAATTTACTTAAGATACTTAGTTGACATTCATAAAAAATATCTAATGAATTATGAGTTCAATACATCATGTTTAGCAAAAAGATGAATATTCCTTGCACATTATCAGACAATCACTTATTCACAAACCTCATTTAGGGATAATAGTTTTCATTTCCCATCTCATGGAAAACCCTTTTCTCTCCGCATAGCCCTATCTCTTTCTAAGGTTATTTTAGTGATAGGTTCTATAGGAACTAGACGATCCTATTTGGTCAAATACCTAGCGACAAACTCCTATGTTCATTTCATTACAGTATTTCTGAACAAGTTCCTAGCTAACAAGCCCAAGGGTTTTCTTGTTAATGATAGTGACGATATTGATGATAGTGACAACTGTGACTTTGATATAGAGTTGGCCCTTCTAACTATGATAAATGTGCTAACTATGGATATGATGCAAAAAATAGACCGATTTTATATCACCTTCAATTCGAATTAGCAAAAGCAATGTATCCTTGCATAATATGGATTCCAAACATTCATGATATGGATGTGAATGAGTCGAATTACTTATCCCTCGGTCTATTAGTGAACTATATCTCCAGGGATTGTGAAAGATGTTCCACTAGAAATATTTATGTTATTGCTTCGACTCATATTCCCCAAAAAGTGGATCCCACTTTAATAGCTTCGAATACATTAAATACATGCACTAAGATACAAAGGCTTCTTATTTCACAACAACAAAAGCACTTTTTCGCTCTTTCATATCCCAAGTAAGTTCAATTCAAGATCATTGGATCCTTTTCTATCAAATAGGAAGGGTTGTTGCACAAAATGTACTTCTAAGTAATTGCTCCATAGATCCTATATCTATTTATATGAAGAAGAAATCATGTAACAAAGGGGATTCTTATTTGTACAAATGGTACTTCGAACTTGGAACGAGCATGAAGAAATTAACGATACTTCTTTATCTTTTGAATTGTTCTGCCAGATCGGTCGCTCAAGACCTTTGGTCTCTACCTCAACCCGATGAAAAAAATGGAATCTCTTCTTATAGACTCATTGAGAATGATTATAATCTAGCTCATGGCTTATTAGAAGTAGGAGACACTCCGATGGGATCCTCACGGATAGAAAAATATTGCAGTCAGTTTGATAATGATCGAGTGACCTTGCTTCTTCGACCCGAACCAAGGAATCCCTTAGATATGATGCAAAATGGATCTTGTTCTATCGTTGATCAGAGATTTCTCTATGAACAATACGAATCGGAGTTTGAAGAAGGGGAATAAGTCCTCGACCCGTAACGGATAGAGGATGATTTATTCAATCACATAGTTTGGGCTTTTAGAATATGGCGCCCTTAGGGCTTTCTATTTTATTGTATCGAAAAGCCCAATGAATTGGGATTTCCCTATTGGGTCAGGTCATTTCGAGGCAAACGGATCATTTATGATGAAGAGGATGGGCTTTAAGAGAATGATTTGGAGTTATTACAGAGTGGAACCATGTAGTACCAGACATAAGATAGATCTTTCAAAGAACAAGGCTTTTTTCGAATAAGCTAATTCATTTGGGACCATGCGGATCCACTCTTTTTCCTATTCAAAGATCAGCCTGTATTTTCACATCGAGAATTCTTTGCAGATGAAGAGATGTCAAAGGGGCTTCTTACTTCCCAAACGGATCTTCCTACGTCTATATATAAATGCCGGTTTATCAAGAATACGCAAGAAAGGTACTTCGAATTGTTAATTCATCGCCA